TGCCTCAGCCTCATGACTGCTGGGACTATAGGTGTGCGCCACCGTGCCTGGCTCCCATGTTTAACTACTGCAGATTATTTTGTATGAAACTCCACTCAGAGACTGAGTAAAGTCATTATGCGGAGTCCACTCTCTTCATCTTGACTTAGAGTTGAAAGTTCTCGGGATTGTCTTCCTTCTTTCACAGCAGTTTTCTCTCCTCTACTCATGACACACACACCACCCCCCTCCCCCCGAGACCTCAAACATGTAATTTAAAAGAAAACTTCCACATAATTGAACTGGGGAGTTTTGTGTGTCAACTTAAACAAGCTGGAGTCATCAGAGAAGGAGCCTCAGCTGAGGAAATACCCCCTTGAGATCCAGCTGTGAAGCATTTTCTCAACTGGTGATCAATGGGGGAGGGCCCAGCCCATGGTGGGTGGTGCCATCCCTGGGCCGGTGGTCCTGGGTTCTGTAAGAAAGCAGGCTGAACAAGCTATGGGGAGCAGGCCAGTAAACATTGCCCCTCCATGGCCTCTGCATCAGCTCCTGCCGCCAGGATCCTGCCCTGTTTGAGTTCCTGTCCTGACTTCCTTCAGTGATGAACAGCAATGCTGAAGTGTAAGCCAAATAAACCCTTTCCTCGCCAACTTGCCTTTTGGTCATGGTGTTTCATCGCAGCAATAGAAACCCTACGTAAGACAATAATCTTTGACCTTTTGCTCAATACTGACTCCATGGCTAATGCACTGCCGTATAATACCTACTTGTCTTAATTCAGTTAATTGAGAATGGAATATACTGTTACTCTTTTTTAAAAGACATAACAAACTGCCACTAAGTATGACTGCTGACAGACATATTTGTAAGCTGAAGCTTAAGGCATTCTTCTGTAGAGCCTGTTCAATTCCTTTGCACATATTACACATATCTATGATACCATATATAATCATATATAATGTGCTTACTTGAGTCTTGCATCTCTAAAGGAATAGTGTTTTTTGCTTATTGTTGTTGTTCTCTCCCCCCTACCCCCCACGTGTGTGTGTGTGTGTGTGTGTGTGTGTGTGTGTGTGTGTGTGTGTACATATGTATGTATGAGGCCAGAAATCAAAGCCTGGTCTCTTTCCTATCACTATCTACATTTTTTTGAGACAATCTCTCATTGACCATGGAGTTTACTAATTGGCCAGAATAGCTGCACAGAAAACTCCCAGAATCTTCCTGTCTCTGCTTCCCAGTCACACCTGGCTTTTTACCTGTGTGCTGGGGATCTGAACTCAGGTCCCCATACTTTACCTACTAAGCCATCTCTCCCGCCTCCAGAATGAAGCTTTTTAAAATTTAACATGTTTATAGTACTTTCTGACTCATCTAGAAAACAGCCTCCAATCACAGCTGTGCTACTTTATCGCAACATGTTCTAAACTCAATCTCCTTATGTCTAACATAAAACGGGCAAAGCAGGTAATTCCCAAATGCTTATTGATTCTATAAATATTCTACATCTGAGAGTCCACAACAGTAAGTTCAAAAAACCACAGACTAAATTTTATACATACATACATACATACATATATTGACCAGGGCAGAAAAGATAACGTTTCACTATATAGTCTCGGCTGGTCTAGAACTCCCTATGTAAATCAAGATGGCCTTGAACTCAGAGGAGCTGTGTTCCTCCCTAGATGCCGTTAGAGAAAAGTGTTCACTTACTTCCTCCTGTTACTATGGGCTACACTCCTTGGCCGATGCCCCACTTCTCCACATTTAAAGCCAGCTGCAGGGCATCTTCAAATTTCTCTGACTCTCCTCACTCTGTCTCACTTTTAAGAACCCTGCCATGGGGCTGGATTCAGCAGTTAAGAGCACTTGCTACTCTTGCTGAGGAGCCAGGTTCGATTCCCAGGACCCACATGGCAGCACATACCCATCCAGGGGATCCATTGCTCTCTTCTTACCTCAGTAGGCACCAGGCATGCACACAATGCACATACATGTAAGCAAAAACACTCATTCACATAAAATGAAATAATTTTTTTAAAGGAACCATATGAAACTAGGCATGGTGGCACATACCTTTAATTGCAGCACTCAGGAAAATCTCTGTGAGTTCAGGCCAGCTAGGTCTACAAAGCAAATTCTATGCCAGCCAAGATTACACAAAGAAACTCAGTCTTCAAATTTAAAAAAAAAAAAAAGGCTACAATGGGTAATGGGTCATCCACATAATCCAGGATAATCTCCCATCTCAAGATCCACAATTCAAATCTCTCTTGCTGAATAAACAGAATCATAGTTTGTGGATTAAGATAAAGACTGCTGACGTGGGTGCCTTTTAAGTACCAACAGAATCAACCAATAACTTGCATGTGTAGTAGGAGTGACATTTGAGGCCCCACAGCAGCGGAAGACACACCCAGGCTATCCCAGCCACGTGGCACAGGGTGGCGGATGCCACTGTGATCAACAAATATGTGATGAAGAGGTAGAAAAGACAGAAAAACGGAGCTGTGTGTGCCCTATGGAGAAAGGCGGAACTGAAGACATGATGGCAATGACAGGTGAGAGAGGGTTGAGGTCAACATGCTGTCATTGCCCTGTAGGGTCGGTGGGATGGTGGGGTGGTGGGATGGCGGGATGGTGTACAGCAGCCTGGAGGCCATGTTGGTGTCTATGGTCCATCACTGCCCCAGGCTGTGATGAAGCCAGAGATTAATGTGGATATAGGATGGAAGCGCTGACTGATGACTTGGTGGTATCCTCAGATTTCACTCGGGGTGGGGGCGTGGGGGGTGTTGTTGATTTGGATGGCATGCATAGCCACCTGAGGCCTTGATGAGACTCAAGGTCCGTGCAGCTGCAAAGGACCATGAGTTGGTCAGTCATCCTGATGCAGCCAGAGGCCACATTGCTCTCCGTGGCCGTGTTACCACCAAAGGCCATTCAGATGTCTATGGTCTGGGCTGCCGCCTGAACCCATGGTGATGTCTGCGGGCCTTGCTAACCTGGTCCGGCCCCTCCCACAGCAGCCTGGGAGGCCCCAGCTGACCAACTCAGCTACCACCCAGGCCCAGATCCAGGGCTTTGAGCCAGCCCACCCCAACATGTATCCCACCTATAAGCTGCTTGGAGCATGAGAAGGGGCCTGTCCTGAGGAACCATAGATGCAGGATCTCTATAACTCTGGGCAACAGGAGGCTATCCGAGAGGAGTCTTGGCAAGGGCCCAGTATTGAAGGTGTAGTAGAAGTCAGAGGCCTTGAACCAGGCCAACGACTCACTGCAATGAACATCTGCAAATAAGGCTGTTTGGAAAAAGGGGCATACTTCATGACACGCTGCAGCTCCCAATGCCACTACAAGGAACGAATGTGTGATGGAGAGGCGGGAAAGATGGAGGAGCAGAGCGGTCCCTACACCGAGGAACTGGAGACCCAGCAGCTATGGCAGGAGTGAGAGAAGGCTGGGGTTGATACAGGAGCAGGTGTTGCCCAATGGGGTCAGTGAGACCAGTTTTTTTCCCTTTGGGGGGAGAAGGTGACGAGGGTGGGGGCAGACACGGAAGGACTGGGAAATGAGGGTGATTGGGGTGCATGACGTAAAATTCCCCAAGAATCAATAAGAAAATATTAAGTTTTTTAAAAAAGATAGACTGCTAAATTCCTAGATGAAAATCTGGGAGTAAATCCTTGTGAACTTGATATAAGCAAGGAATTATTCTTGAATAAGATATCAAACATAAATGATAAAAGAGGTAATAAAATGGACACCGCCAAAACTGAAATTTTTGCACTTCTATGCCATCAAGAAAGTGGAGTATCATGGCTAGAGAAATTGTTTAGCAGGAAAGAGTACTTGATGTTCTTGCCACGGACGGTGTTTCCATTCCTAGCACTGACATGGTAACTCACATCCGCCCATAAGTGCAGTTCCTGGGGATCCAAATCCAACACACGCTTCTCATCTACAATGGCTCAAGGCTCACATGTGGCACACACACATATATGTAAGCAAAACACTCATACACACAAAAATGAAATCTTTTTAAAAAGTGAAATGGCAGTGAACAGAACAGCAATTTTTTTCATATCACAAATCTGACAAGGAATCTGTTTCTAAAACTGACACAAATTATCCAATTTTTAGATGGCAAAAAGTCTCAACAGATATTTCCCATAGATATGCAATCACTCCGCCAACAGATCCTCACTGCCTCCCACTGCTCCAACATCTGTCCTTTGCCCTAAACAAATTGTGGAGACTTCTGAAACAACTAAAGAGCCCTTGTTTTTTCAAGGTGACTCAAATCCTGTTACAGAGGGCTTCTCTCAGTCTCCAAGCCACTACAACACAAGGCCTCAGGGCTTCTTCTCACGGTTCTGGCTGCCTCCTCACCCACAGACACTTTTTCCCACCCTCATGGAGTCAATTCATTTCTATAGCAATAAGAAAAAAATTATCTAGAATGCACCTTATTCAGCCTAGATTTGTGCATTTAGTCATTTCCCCTTACAATGCCCTTACTTTAGGGAAATGATATGCCTGCTTTAGCCAGAGTCCTAAGATAGTAGTATTTTGGCCAATGGCACACAATGTCACATAGTTGTAATGCAGGGAACCTCAAAGGGCATGAAGATCTCCATTCTACTTTTACAGAAATGCTCTCCAGGTGAAAAAGTACAAGAGAGCACAGTAGCACTGCAGGGCAATTCGTTTCACATGTACAAACTATCACACTGACTAGATGTCTTCAAATAGTAAAATAGTATTTGTTCTCAGTTTAGTTCCATGCACATATTAGTCATTTAGAACTTACTAAATCAAGCTTGATTTCAAAAGTGTGTACACACACACACACACACACACACACACACACACACACACACACATCAGTAAAGCTGTATGTAAATGTACAAAGCTTTCTTTCCTAATTTCTACCACATGAGATTTCAAGGTGATCATAATAAACAAACACAAATAAGCATAAAATCAAAATAAACCACATTATTTACTCACATATAATGGAGCTTGCTGTGGACTAAGTTTCATGACCCAGGACACTGAAACAAAACGAAGAAATAGATGAGAATAAAATCAAAGTTGTCAACAAAAATATATATGAAAAAAATGCCACCTAAAAGTTGTCGATGTCACCCGTGGCAAAGTGAGTGCAACCCCAAGTCTGAGTGATGCCCACTCAGCTTTCCTTAGAGATTGAAGAAGAGGGAAGTCCACAGACAACAGAATTCTTATACTCTAGTCTTTTCAGAAGAGGGCAGATTGAAAAATAAAGGTCAACAGTTTCATAGTAACATCCCAGCTGAACGTTCACATGACACCCTAAGCCCATGAAATACTGCTTGCCAGTGGATGCTCCCTAAATCCTCGAAGTTTGGGGTGAAAGGAGGTACCTGAAGACCACTAAAGTTCTCTGGCTTGTTGCCTTTCCCACAGAAAAAGGAGGCTACAGTTTGCCTTTAACAGCTAAAACTAATGGCCAAATTTCCGGGTCCTTCCTATACCTGAATTTTCAACATATTAAAAAGAAATTAAAGAATTTAAAGGCTTCTAGGATTATATTTTTTAAATTAAATAACATACTCAGACAACACCAATAGACACACTGAGATAGAAGGGGTGAAGCTCACAAGGACTCAGCCCTAGACAAAGAACTACAAATACCTAAAGAAGGCAGAGAACATGAGAAACAGTCTTCCGCAGGGAGGAGCGCACTGACTGGTTATCCAATACCAAATGTTCAGTCCTGAAAACATAAACATATCGATACAAGTAACATTATATGAACTGAGCAGGTGGTATTGATATATTTAGGAACACACACATAAACCAACATCAATAATTAAAGAAAAAGAGGACATGAATTTGAGAGCAAGAGGGGTACACAGGAAGTGCTGGAGGAAGAAAGGGGATGGGAGAAATGGCATAATTATAACTTCAAAAATATAAAAAATAATTTAAAAGTTGAAAAAAAAAGAATACCATCCTCTTAAAAGTTTGGCTTGGAAAAAAGAAAAGAAAAAAAAAAAGTTGGGCTTGGTAATTTCACTAAGGCATCAGAACAGCAGGTTCTCTGCCAAATACCCTGAACTTGAATAGAAACTGATCTGACCTCACTATAGTCAGAGAAGACCAAAGTGATTTAATTAAAACTTCATCTGAAGCTTTTTTATTTGTAACCGATAAATTAAGACACATACTAACCAGCAACATCAGCAGTTCAGAAACATTCACACAGTGAAAAACAGTAGGTAAATTGCCACCATGAATTCTAACAGATTTCAGAAGCTGAACAATAAAACTGAAATCCAAACAGCATAAAATTCGAGATTAATAGTCAAATGTTCAGAACAAAAGACCTTTTCGAGATCATGAATAATCTGAACACACCTCTCAAAATAAACATCCTCAGAGACCTACCACAGATCAAGCTCTGTGTGTGTGTGTGTGTGTGTGTGTGTGTGTGTGTGTGTAAGAGAGACAGAGAGACAGAGAAATCAGGACTTACCCCAAAAGCAACCAACATAGACTGCACAATGCTACTGTTCTCAGAGCTTGGAGTACTCTTTCCTCCATGCCTGTCTTCATCTAATGACTTTGTACTTAGAAGTACTAAAATCACTGAAAACCAACATCAGAAATGTATCAGCTCTTTTTACTAGGAAAGTTAAGTATATTTCAAACCATCATATTCAAATAGTAAATGCAGATTAAGAAGAAAGATTAGGGGCTGGAGAGATGGCTCGGTGGTTAAGAACATTTGCTGCTCTTCCAGAGGGCCAGAGTTCAGTTCTCACTGCCCCGTAACTCCAGCTCCAGAGGACACAATGCCCTCATGTGGCATCTCTGGGCAACTGCACCCAAGTGCACATAAATCCACACAAAGCTAAAAAATAAATAAAAGTAATTTTTTAAAAGAGAAATATTGCCAGGTGGTGGTGGCGCACGCCTTTAATCCCAGTACTCAGGAGGCAGAGGCAGGCAGATCTTTGTGAGTTCGAGGCCAGTCTGGTCTACAGAGCGAGATCCAGGAAAGGCACAAAGCTACACAGAGAAACCCTGTCTCAAAAAAACCAAAAAAAAAAAAAAAAGAGAGAAATATTGATGGGCTTGAATACCTTTTCAGTGTATTATTGTTATTAGTATTAAATATGCATTTAATTTTAAATGGTTGGCCTTTTAATTGATTTTTCAGATCTCGTTCAGACTTGCCTGGGACACAGAATTGGAGGAACATATAAAGTTATAAGTCAATGTACTTTGACTAACTTATGAAGCGGTTCTGCCATTACACACTGTAAAAAATGTCAGTTACACTGACAAAGAAATTAATACTTCAGCAATCCATAAGCAATACTTTTTCATACTGTGATGAAAAAGCTGCGTGACTCACCAGTCATGCCTCATGATTTGCTAATTTGCTAAAATTTAAAATGCTGGCTTCAACATCAACTTTTCTATGTGGCTCCATCATACTGGATGAAAGTCACATAATGTAAGGGTAGGTTGACGCCATTGGAATAACGTAGAACTATACACTCATCTATACACACCACAAAACCAATCCCGTACACACCACTCCAACACAGGATTAAAGACAGCTAGCAAAGCGTCTGTCCCCCCACACTTCCCAAAGAGTCAGATCACTCTTACACTGGCAATACAGGGCAGCAGAAAGAGCCCATGTGTCAAAAAAAATCAAAGTAATGATCAGAAGGCTCTGGGAAAGGGCTGGCAGTCTAGACTGGATGACTTGTAAGAAGCTTCTTAAATACTGACACACAAGAAGAGCGAAACTAACTTCCACGGCGCTTTGTTTTTGAGGTCTCATTCCTTCTCCACAGAGGATACCATTTTCCCCATTTCAATGATCCAAAGAATAAGTTATTTAATACCAAGGGCAAAAAAGGAAGCAGCCCAAATCTGTCTGATACCAACATACAGGTTTTTCTCCTCATGTCACCAACTCAAAGTCTTTGTCAACAAAATTTGCTAAATCTTTCTGCAAAGAAAACTTAGTGAAATTAAGTTAATAGTGTTATTGACATCTGATAATTTCATCAGGTTTTACAATGTCTTCCTTAGCCAGTTAACCTACAGCAAATCACAGATTCAAATGAGCAGCCTTCAGATAACAGCCAATACCGAGAAGTACAAACAGAAAAAGCTATCTAACATTTGAAAGACGAAGAAGACACACCAAAATTCAGTCGTAGCGATATGGCGTTATGAGGTCTGCTCACTAAATCCACAACTCAGTGTAAAACTACCTAGAGTTGAAATGAGTCATAAACCTGATGGATGTGAAATTAAGCAGAATGACAGTCATCAAGACTTTTGTTCTTCCTACTTTGTTTTATAATGTGGAAGGAACACAAATTTCCTATTTTACTGTTGTATAAAAGTGGCATGTTCACTTTATGTCAAGACAAGACTCATCAATTTTTTTTTTATATGAGTGCTCTATCTGTATGCATGCCTGCATGCCAGAAGAGGGCACCAGATCTTATTAGACATGGTTGGGAGCCACCATGTGGTTGCTGGGAATTGAATTCAGGTTCTCTGGAAGAACAGTCAGTGTCCTTAACTGCTGAGCCATCTCTCCAACCCCAACTATCTCAATCATACAAATTAACATTTTCCTGTACTTTGATGTAAGCTACTCCCAGTCTTTTCTTCATAGGTTACAGTGCTGATACCATGGTTAGACTGCTACAGTTGTGCAGTGTTCACAAAATAAACAATAATAAACATGTTGGAATTTTTGAAATTATTGCCTACAAAGGGAGATGTAGAAATTCAGATGACATTGGGCATGTTCAGGATGGTGTGGCCATAGACTGGGTGTAGACAATCACTACATAAGACATCACAGAAATTGAGGCTTGAAATTCTACAGCTATATGGCTGATCTGAGGGAAAGGGGGACAGGAACAGTGTGCCTGTGTAAAGGAGTGAGAATCTTAAAAGGCTACAAAAAGATTACAACTAAATTATACCTAGTGCTCACAAACACTGTTTAAAGACTAGGTTGCAAATATTTCAAGTTTTGTGGGCTGTGTCTCTCTTATAATATGTACATTAATGGATAGATACAGCTGCATTTAAAGAAGCTTTATTTACGAAAGAAACAGCAGAATCATCCAGCAAGCCAGAGTGTAGCAATCCTTAGTAAAAGGTAAAGACACCTGTTAACAGGCACAAGTAGCAGTGTGTACCCAACTGAGAGGCTCCATGCCTCAAAGATGCTATCAGCTAAAAGGTGTATTAATATAGGAAAGGTAAAGGGAAGTGGTACATAAATTCGAGATGAGAAGTTACAAAAAAAAAATCACAAATTCTCTACAGATTAATTCTCCTGAAGCAAACTGCTTATCTGAATCTCAGTCTCTTTAATCACAGAAAACAGAGAACTCTTGCCTGCACTACAGGACTGGCGGAAGAATTAAAATACACAATCCAGGCAGACCGAATCTAAGGGACGTTACCAGATACAGAGCAAAAGTCACTGCTTCATCTTCTGGTAGTTTCTTGGTCTTACAGAAAACCATGAAAAACTAAATGTGAGCTTAGTATTAATAGTAAACTATTGCCCAGAGAGACCTTTCTGACAACATCTTAAAAAGGATTGGAATGTGAATTAAATTCTAAAATAATACAGAAACTAGAGGGAAAAAAATCTGTAACAAACAGCAAGAGTTGGTAAGTCATCTGGTTGTATTTCTCACTATCACAAACACCTGACAAGAAGAAACTGTAATGAGGAAAGGTCTGTTTTGGGTCAGTTTGTGGGAATACAGTCCATCATGGCAGGGAAGGCAGACCAACAGATGCTTCATATAGCTGCTCATATGCATCTGCAGTCAGGAAGCAGAAGAGAGATGAATGTTGGTGTTCAGGTAGCTTCTCGCTCCCTCCAATACACATTTTTAAAGTCAGTCAAGGATCTGAACCCGGGAGACATGCTGCCCACATTTACAGTGGGTTTTTCCACCTCAGTTAAATGTCTCTGGAAACTTCCTCAAAGACACACCTAGAAGCG